AGGTGGTATTTGGTTGTGTAAGGTCTTTTATGCTGATTTGTGAGATTTTGGTGCACCCATTACCTAAACAGTATGCAATGAATCCAATTTGTAGTCTTTAATCTCTCACCGCCCCCCACCCTTTCCCCAAGTCCCCAAAGTCCATGTATCATTCTTACGCCTTTGCATGCTCATAGCTTAGCTCCCACTTAAGAGTGAGAACATATGATTTTTGGTTTTCCATTTCTGAGTTACTTCACTTAGAGTAACAGTCTCCAGTTCCATCCAGGTTGCTGTAAATGCCGTTAATTTGTTCCTTTTTATGGCTGAGTAGTATTCCGTCATATATATTTATCACAATTTCCTTATTCACTTGTTGATTGATGTGCATTTGGGCTGGTTCCACATTTTTGCAATTGCGAATTGTGCTGCTCTAAACATGGGTGTGCAAGTACCTTTTTCGTGGAATGACTCTTTTGCTCTGGGTAGATACCCAGTAGTGGGATTGCTGAATCAAATGTAGAGCTACTTTTAGTTCTGTAAGGGATCTCCACGCTGTTTTCCACAGTGGTTGTGCTAGTTTACATTCCCACCAGCAGTGTAGAGGTGCTCCCTTTTCATTGCATCCACACCAACATCTACTATTTTTTTTTATTTTTTCATTATGGTCATTCTTGCAGGAGTAAGGTGGTGTATCAAGATGTAGTTTTGATTTACATTTCCCTGATCATTAGTGATGTTGAGCACTTTTTTCATATGTTGTTGTCCATATGTATATCTTCTTTTGAGAATTGTCTATTCATGTCCTTAGCTCACTTTATGATGGGATTGTTTGTTTTGTCCTGCTAATTTTTTTGAGTTACTTGTAGATTCTGGATATCAGTCCTTTGTCGGACATATAGATTGTGAAGATTTTCTCCCACTCTGTGGGTTGTCTATTTACTTTGCGGACTGTTTATTTTGCTGAGCAGAAGCTCTTTAATTAAGTTCCACCTATTTATCTTTGTTTTTGTTGCATTTGCTTTTGGATTCTTGGTCATGAAGGCTTTGCCTAAGCCAATGTTTAGAAGAGTTTTTCTGATGTTATCTTCTAGAATTTTTATAGGATCAGGTCTTATATTTATTTAAGTCCCTGATCCATCTCGAGTTGATTTTTGTATAAGGTAAGAGATGATAATCCAGTTTCATTCTCCTTCATGTGACTTGCCAATTATCCCAGCATCATTTGTTGAATAGGGTATCCTTTCCCCACTTTATGTTTTTGTTTCCTTTGTCGAAGATCAGTTGGCTGTATTTGGGTTTATTTCTGGGTTCTCTATTCTGTTCCATTGGTCTATGTGCCTAGTTTTATATAAGTACCATGTTGTTTTGGTGATTATGGCCTTATCCAAAGAGTATATATTACATTTTTTTATGGTGCCAGGCAGAGACATTGGTACAGCTAATATATGCACTTATGGAACTCAAGATTTCTTATACTGAATACAGAATAAAAGTAAATAGGAATATTTACAGCTGTTAGGCCTTTAGTTAATTTTGTCTAGATGGAGTTTCAAATTACTTATGATTTGCTGTCAATTCAGTGCATAAGGAGAAATTTACCTTATAAATAGCTTAGAAAGGAGCTATGTCATAAAATGACATGTCTCAAAATGTCTCGTGAAGCCAACTTTTCTTCCAGCATGGCAAGAGATCACCATTTCTTTTGCTGAGCACCTAATGAAGTCATAGGTTTGCTGTAGAGGTTATGTTGTGTGAAAAGTACTACTTTCAAATATTTGATAACTTCAGAGTCACAACATGCTCATATTCAGAAAACATGTGACCCTGACTTCCACTGATCCGCAGCTCCCATATTACACCAGCCATGGGTAAGTTATTTGCTGAGTGTATCCTCGTAACCCAGTTTTTACTGTATCTTGCTCCTGAGCAAGTTCTATTTCTCCTTCCAGTACACTCCAGTACACTTCCTCCTCTCTGTTTTTTTTTTTTTTTTTTTACTTTGCCGCAAGTCAGTAGAGTTTAATTTAACTAGTTTATTGTGCATACACTATGTTTTCTTTCAGTCATACTTTTCAAATCTTAGTAATGAAGCAAACAACCAATAAGGACCCAAATGGTTGTTTTGCCTTAAATTACTTTCTTTTTAATATTTTCTTTTTAATATTCTTCTCCATTCTTTTTACATTTGGTGGGTATATTTATTTGTATCTCCTAAGTAAAAGAAACTAAGGGATTTTGAAAAAAACACACAACTTTTCACTAATAATAGAGAATAAGTTGTTAGTATCTATGTCATTGGTGGTGAGGGAAAGGGTAAACGCTTTCTAGAGTAAATAAATTCAAAGGATTGTACGTCATGTTAATATAAAAAAATTAGAAAGATGTTTTCTTAGATTATAGCAGTATATTGTGTATACACCCTTATCTAATAATGTTTGAGCCTATCCCTCCACTATATGTATATCCTGAATTGTAGAGACACTAGTATGCTAAAATTTATCATAAGAAAACGGTAAAAGGAGAGAAATGTTTAAAAATGAGATGAAAATCATAAGTACATGTGAGTGTGTGTATATATATATGTATATATGTTTCAATATTTCTTGTTGCATTCTAAAGAATGGTCTGTGTACCTCTTTCCAGAGATCATGCACCTACAACATGAAGGAATGAAAGAAAACCTAATAATACAGAGACTGGCCAGACATGGGGGCTCACGCGTAATCCCAGCATTTTGGGAGGCCGAGTGGGGTGGATCGTGAGGTCAGGATATCGAGACCATCCTGGCTAACATGGTGAAACCCTGTCTCTACTAAAAATACAAAAAATTATCCAGGCATGGTGGCGGGTACCTGTAGTCCCAGCTACTTGGGAGGCTGAGTCAGAAGAATGGTGTGAACCAGGGAGGTGGAGCTTGCAGTGAGCCAAGATCGCGCCACTGCACTCCAGCCTGGGTGACAGAGTGAGACTCCATCTCAAAAAAAAAAAAATTAAAATAAAATAAAATACTACAGAGATAATTCTTCATTTACAGTAAACACTAAGAACACACACACACACACACACAGAGAGAGAGAGAGAGAGAGAGAGAGAGAAAGAGAGGGAGAAAGATTAGATTAGTAGCAAGGAACTTACATACATGATTAATGTGGGTGACTTCTGAACCAAAGTTGAAGGAAGCAGATGAGAGCTCTGTGGGCGAAGGCTGCTGCTGTGAGCATACAAATAAGTTTGATTATAGCTACAGTTTCCATGCCTAATGCCAAACAACTGCCTTGAAATTCCTAAGTGAGAGTGTGGTGGGTAATTCAGCACAAGTACTGATCTCTGTTGTCATGAGTGTCCTTAACAGCAGTAAGAAATGGGGACCCATTGGGGAAGAGCCACCTGATGTGGCTTCATGACATGATGGATTTTGAAGAGATGTCTTAGACAGATCTAATGTTAGAACAATAACAGTGGTACCATGGCTGTAGGAGATCCTGAATGCATGACATTCTTTATCACTGAGATAAAGAACATTCTAGATTAAGTCTTAACATTCACCTCAGCAAATGGAACAGCAGGGTCAGCAAATCTCATTTTGAATCAACATATGCAAACATTGCATTATTTCTTTTCCCCACTGAGAGACTGTTGTAACACACACAGGATGCTACACACAACAAAGTGGGAGCCAGGTTCTGTATTATTCTACTTAGGTAAACTTCTATTAGCCTGCAGAAGTCAGGGAACACAATTATATTAAAACAATGTGTACCATGGACCCATTGGTTAGAAGCCATATTAAACGCAGTTTCGTGCATGGTTAGTCATCCATAAACATTTCTGTTTGTAATAATAATGGTGTCAGAAGTAGGCCTTATGGGGCTGAAATGAGGTTACTAAACAAAAGTATTAAGGGCACAGTCTGTGCAGTGTGTCACTTGGTCAACTGGAAAGCAGTGACGACTTTTCTTATACTTGCCAGGGTGGAATTCTTCTCAGTGTATTGGTGTGAGGTTCTCTCCGGAGGCATTGCAATCTGTTTATAACTTCTTGGCAACAGCTTTTGGAATAAGGCCAAAGAGATTGTCAAATAATACACAGAGTGGAAATGAGTTGTTTGAATTTTTCAGCCATCTTCCTTTTCTTAGGGCCAAAGATGTAGTTTTATAAATCTCCTTAATCCGTAACTTCTACCAGAATGAGTCAGAATTATTACATGGAATTTAGCTCTTCTAAATGATGTTCAGTCATTAAATTATGACAGCTGGTATGCAAAAAAAAAAAAATGTTGACTTATTCCGATTGTTCTGATGCCTAATAGAAAATCTAGTTTTTAAAAAGCGTATTCATGGGATGGCATTCAAAAACAAGCTTAAGCAATCTTTTTGAGATTGGGAGCCAATCCTTGAGACATCTGGGAATGAACAGTAAAAGGATTGGATATATTGGTTGAATCAGTCCCCTCATTTCACATGTTGTTGTTTTAAGAGATAGGCGGCTTGGCAAACCAGGGTGAGAGATGACCTCTTGAGTTGAAGGCTTATGTTCACTCTTTAGTTCAGAGGTCTGATCTTTGAATGCTTCCTGACAAAGCTCTCCTCGTTATGGTCTATATCATTTTGTTTTGACAGATTAGTCACAGCATCAGACAGATGCAAGTAGCTATTGTGCCAAACAGGTCAGGAGAACTGCTTTGTAGAAATACTTACAATTGTGGTCTGTTGCAAAATACGTGAATTCATGACAGAAGATACTTCGATAATGTTTTCAATAAGAAATGTAATTATGTGGCTGCCTTTTGCATGCCTGCCCTCTCTGCTTCTTTTGTTCCTTGACAGAAATTCACAGGACCCGTTTTTTAGCAACACAGTAATACTATTGCTTAGGTATTTGAGTGGAAATTTTGAGGGGTGTGGGGAGAAAGAAAAATTAAATCTGTTTTTTTAAAGAGAAAATGTAAAAATTAATTTAAAAGTGACTCCTTAAATGATAATTATTTCCAAAATTACAACTTTCTAATCTATCCCTAGGTGCTGTAAACTGCAAACCATAATCCTGTCTTCACATTGCAAACAAATCACAGTGGAACTAAGGGGAACTTAATTTACGGGTAAGAGTATTTTCCTTAATCAGTTGTTTTACGCATTTTTGATTGTATTTAATTATTGCAGTACACAGTGCAGGAGTCACACAGAATAAAGACAAGGAGACGTTGCAGAACTTACGTCTTCACTACATTCTTAGCGTAGATATGGACCAGATATATCGTACAGTGAAGGTTTTTTTGTTTTTTTGAGTTGCATTAAATTGATGGCTTATTTTTTGAAAGAGCAAAACCCTTACCTTAAAGTTATTTTTCTTGTTGGCTGACCTGTTAGCATAGTCAAAAGTGGAATATGTATAATATTTATCAAAATGTAATTTTTAATAGAAAAATAGTTTCGTCACTGGGATTTGAGAAGGTTGACTTCTAAGGAGGCTTGAAGTTTCAATGAGAAAACCTGTATTTTCAGGGGGTAAACAGAGCTCATGCTTCAGAATCTGAACGACTTTCAGCTTCAGTCACTGTTCCTTGAATTTGAATCCATTTGAAATCTGACCTGAGTCTTTGATTGGAGTTTTTTCAAATTCTTTGTGCAACACTAACCTGAATTATAACTAATTTCAAAGAGTTTGGAACAGTGAGAAAAGTCCACGTTGGAGGGAGGGCCAAATACAGAGTGATGTAGTTCTAGTTAAGCTATTTAGCTATTTTTATGATCCATGTTATAAACCATAAAACTGGAATAATAGTTGTAACCGCCTACAGGTGCAGCTTAAATTAGACTGTTATGGTAATGCGTATTAACACTGGGTTTGGTCCATACCATTGTGTTTGGTTCAGTAAGTGCCAATAATTAGTATCACAACTGGTTTTTGAAGACAAAATGATTGGAGGTAAAAGAAAAATGAGTAGTAATTTTTTTCTCAAAGATGAAAGAGTGATTTTCTTACTTTCTCAAGAGCACATTATGTCACTAAGAGAATATGCACTCCAGAAGAATTAAGATGTTACTTGGTGCATGAACAATTTTTTTCTATGCATTTGTTGCAAATGAGACCTTAATACAAATATAAAGTAATGAAGACAATGTGGAAAGAGATAGAGCATCTTGACTTTATGAGTCATTGTTAGCATACCTGGTTCCTGGTAACCCCCAGTGGTCTTCTAAATGAATGGAGGCTATACCAAGAATCAGTCTATGAGGAAACTGTGTGCTTTGAAAAACATTTGCTCTCTTCTCTCATCCACTGGAGTGGTTTTGCTCTCCACTATTTTTAGATCTTCGCTTTGGGACTTTCCCCAAGAGGGGTTCTCCATACAGGCTTTCTCACCACAGGGCATCTTCAAGTCTCTTGTAACATTAAAAATGGTTTGAAGTATATTCTAATATCGTTAGAGAAAACTCTTCCCAAAATCTTTAATCAGTTCCTTTGATGATGATTGTATGGGATACATTTATTCCATGAAAACCCTTTTATAATTTCACTTTATATGAATTTCTAGTTCATAAGAAACATAGGTAAATCTTCTGAGATAGTAATGAACAAAATATAATACCCAGGGTATTAAATTTTAAAAAAGAGATTTTCATACTACCGTGAGGAACCGTAATTGTGGTTGTGTCATGATGATGTATTAATAATTGTGTCTCTTGACATCATGAAAATGGATGGTAACCTGTAAAACACCCTTCTTGCTCAAAGCCCTGCATTCTTTCCTGTATTTTATTGAATTATGTTTATTTCTTGTGTTCTTCGTGGTGATTGATGAAATCATTATTTAATTCAACAAAATAAGTTCCCTTACTATCAGTTTTCATTGTGCTAGGGAAATCAGCAGTCAGGTTTCAGGAAAGGTTTGTGGAATCATAGTCATAAAACACCCACACCCACACCCCCACACGAACAGGCATTTACCTAATCTTCAATTTTCTTTTGAGAATCTCTCTTTTGGAAATTTCCTCCCACAATACCCAGCCTCTCAAGAATTTAAAAACAATGGCGTAAAATACTCTTCAAGCTCTGATTAGATTACAATATGTGAATGCTAATTTTGTTTTTATGTGTTTCAACACCCAAATTTATCTGAACTTAGGGCACAATAAGCAGTTTAACTGTTAGAAATCTTATGAGATTGAGTTTGTACCTATCAGATGAATACAGATTTATATATACATTTCAATTATTGCTCTACCTATGTATAATTTATTCAAAGGTGACGTTATCCATGCATCTTAACAGAAGGCTTAAATAGTTGAATGGCAGAGACTACATTTTTGCTGCAGAAGATCATGATAAAACATGTGCTGAGACTGCTTGATGGTACTTATCTCTACATACTGCATCTCATACTGATTTATGGATTTGGATGACTTATTTTATGTCAAAGACATAAAGAGGGTAGAGAAGAGAGAATAGTATTTTCATTTAAGTCTTAGTAAAGTTCTATTCTATGAGACGTTATAGCTGCCTTCTCTTGGTGGTCTGTGAAGTTTTTATAAAGATATTGATTATTTTCCAGTGATACACAAATCTACTGTCAGAGACCACTCAAATGCTTAGTTACACCAGGATTTGGCTCCTGTACCCTGAGGAGGACACCATTAACCAAATCCTCCTTTTTAAACGTTCTCAGGACAATGAACTGCACATTCTGCACAAATGCAATTTGCTTGACTAATTTTACCTCTGCCTCCTTCCAACTCTATTTACATGCTTCACACTCAGTTGAAATTAATTATTTACACAATGGTCTTGTGAACATATCTTTGAGGGCAAGTTAAATTTTTATTTGCATCATTACCTGTGAGAACACAACCTGGGGCGTATTAGATGCTTTGTAAGTGTAGAGGTAGGGAGAAAGAGGAAGAAAGAGAGGAAGAGAAGGAGGGAAAGATTTTCCTGATAGATCACTTCTTAGACACTTTCTGTGCTGAGAAGTTCTGAGATTGCCTCTCTGGATCCTGTTATCTTGGCAGTCTTGCTAAGAGTTTCCATTAACACTTAAACATGGTTACTGATGAGTCTTAATGTTCCCTTAACTATCAGATCTCTGATGGCCCCACCTAGCTAGTGGTACCCTGGTCAAGAAGTTCACCTCTGTTAAATAAATACACATAGATTTTCAACATCCCTTCAGATGCATTCAGAGATGATAAAAGATTCCACTGGATGCTAGAACATTGTGCATAAATAATCAAAGTTTTATGCTCCTCAACAATGATGCTAACCCATATCCTTTTTATTTTTCTTTCCCCTGATACGAGGATATGAGTGCATCCGAACTAGTTCCATGCCCTTGTCCCAGAATTAATCATTCCTATCCATATTTGATGTTTATATCTTTTAAATATTTATGGGCTGTTATGTTCCTTTATTGTTGTTCACCCACTCTGGGGACAGTCAGAAGCCTCACATTTCTTCCTTAGCCAAACACCCCATTCCCTTCATCCTCTCTCGGCTGTTCTTTGGATTACCTCCAAATTGCATACATAATTTTGGTATTGAGGTGCCAAAAATACATTTGTTTCAACTGGAGTCTTATTGAAGTTGCTTTTACTCAAATCACGTCCACAAATAAATGTAATTTCCAAGGCATGAAATTCAGTAAGTTCTCCAAAGGGAAGCTGAGGTATACAAATATCTCATTATAATGCTACAGGTAGATTTTAAGTCACTAGGAAAATTACATCTCAAAATCAAAAGATTATAGAATGAGTACTATATGAAGAATTACATTTTAAAGCATAGGCCTGTGATCATTTTGCAGGTTTTTGTTGTTACTGTCAGCCTATTGGTTTTTATTAATAATTTTATTGAGGTATAACTGATACACAAAGGACATATTTAATGTGTACAATTTGATGAGTTTGGACATTTCCAAGAACTCATGAGACTGTCACGGCAGTGAAGGTAATACATGTATTTATTACTTCCAAAAGTTTCCTCTGTCCCTCTTTGTTTTTGTTTGTAAGGTTTTAATAGGCTCAAGCTCAGTCTTCATAGCCTTTTTTTAAGTTAATTTTTTTCTTTCTTTGCAAATTTAGAAGGCAGATTCATTTCATCAAAAAGAAAACAGTTGCTCAGTTGCTATTGCATTGCAGATAAAAGACTGACCATAATGACCATTAAATTATTAAAGAATAAAAGATACTGAAACTCAGCAAAACTTGGGTGATCTCTTTAATAAGCAGACACTTTTAATCTTATATTGACATTTAAAAGGACTGTTCGAGTAGCAACATGACAGACTGCACATATAAAACGTCCATGAAAATATGTAGCACAACCAAACAAATAACTTAGAGCAAAATCCAATGAAAGGAGAAAATTGTGTTTCCTCAAGAAAATGCTACTTTTGCCCTAAGGCAATTCTTGTTGGAGAAAAATATCATGTAAGACATTGACACAAATCACAGACATCTCTTCTAAACAGTGGATTTTATTGGACTGCACACGTGTGCAGATATTTAAGGCCTTGGAAAGGAAATCAGAGAAATATATCACTATTATCACCAACACAACTGCGGAGGGCAAAGAGCAGACACATCTCAGATCCTAGTGATGAAGCAGGGAATTAAAAAGTAAATCAGAGCCTCCGATCAAAGGCTAATTTAGTCTGTCATAATTGATTTGCAGTGGAAGGAAGCCTCATGCACAAAGATCGAAGATTAGTGACTTCACACTTACCACAACATCCCCACCCTAAAGGAGGGAAAAAAATCAGAGAGAAGAAGGGGGAAAAAAGAAGAAGAAACATATCAAAGCTCACTAAGAACCCTGTGCAATATAATCTACCTTTCTTAAGGATAGCATGCATTATTCGAAAAATGAAAATGAATTTTATTATGGCATGTTTGAGTTCTACCTTTGAAAGAGTGAGAAACTGGCACTATTGGCTTAAGTAACTTATTTGCAAACAGACATTATTAGGCAGGGCCTTTTGCTGCAGTTGCTTCCCTTTATTTGTAGCCCTTCAAATGCATACATTAAGATTCTCTTCACAACTGCAAACAGCAGGTAAATAATTGTATATTTGAGAGACTATTGCCTATTGAATTTAAGTTG